GCCAATCTATGTATATTAACATGTATACACTTCAAATATAATTCTCAAAAAATTAACTGCCAGAAACATCGAATACAAAACACTTATGTAAAGTTTAAAAACATATCACACAATGCCATCTATCCTTGCTGAGAGCTGGGGATGGGATTAAGGAGGAATAAGTAGAGACTTCACAAGCATGTGATCATTTCTTTGTTTAAAAAGATAGTGATATAAAATAAAATGTTAACAACATTAAATCTAGGTGATAAATACCTGGATGCTCACTTCATTGTTCTCTGTATTGTTTGGAAGGTTTGAAATTCTTGCTAGTAAAAGTGGTTACTAAAAAGTCACTCTTGGGGTCAGGCAGGATGAGCCATGCCTGTAATCCCAGTACTTTGGGAGGCCAGTGTGGGTGGATCACTTGAAGCCAGGAGTTCGAGACCAGCGTGGCTAATATGGTGAAACCCCATCTCTACTAAAAACACAAAAATTAGTTGGGCTTGGTGGTGGGCACCTGTAATCCCAGCTACTCAGGAGGCTGAGATAGGAGAATTGCTTGAACCTGGGAGGCAGAAGTTGCAGTGAGCTGAGATTGCACCACTGCACTCCAGCCCAGGCAACAGAGCAAGATTCCATCTCAAAACAACAACAACAACAACAACAACAAAACAAAAACAAAAACCTCAATCTTGGGTGAAAGGCAGACCTCAGACGGGAAGAGCAGAAGCAAAGACAGCAGTTGAGCAGCTGCTTCCCAAGCCCAGGCAGGAGGTGAAGGAAGCGTGGAATCAGTGATGGCAGCTGAGATACTTCGCTCATAGATTAGATGTGGGAGGTAGATAAAGTAAATTAGAATAATCCAGAAGATTCCTAAGTTTTTTCTTCAGGTAACAAAGTGGATGGTGGAGCCATTAACAGTGAGAGGAAGGGTGCAGAAAAACAGATTTGGGGGAGAAATTCAGAGGCTTTTGTAGATATTTGAGTTTGAGATCATTGTTAAACATCCACATGAATTGTTGGGTAGACAATGCACACAGGTGGATATGAATACAAACCTGGAACTCAAGGACAAGGTCCGGAGTGGAGATACAATTTGAAAAACGCCAGCTCAAAGAACGCATTTACAGCCATGGTTCTTGGCGAGCTCTTCTCCTCAGAGAGTATGGATGGAGAAGAGAAGTGAGCAGAGAACCAAATTTAGGATGCCCCAAAATTAAGAGGTGAATTTAGGGAAAGGGATTGTGGTCTGCTGAATAATGGCCCCTCCAAGGCGTGTTCACGTCCTCATTCCCAGCACCTGTGAGTCATTCTATTATGTGGGAAAAGGGACCTTGCAGATGAGCTCAGGATGCTGCAATGGGGAGAATTATCCTGGATCACCTGGGTGGGCGCCTGTTTGACAAGGGCCCTTAGAAGAGGAGGCAGAAGAGTTCAAAGCAGGGAAACAAAATGTAAGATGGAAGCAGAGGCCAAAGAGGAGAGAAGACGCTAGGCTCTTAGCTTTGAAGATAGAGGAAGAGGTCACAAGCCAAGGACTGCAGGTGGCCTCTAGGATCTGGAAAAAGCAAGGAAAGAATTTCTCCCTTATAACCACCAGCAGGAACACAGCCCTGCCACCCCCTTGGTGTTAGCCCAGAAAGATCCTTGTTGAACTTCTAACCTACAAAAGGGTAAAATATCAAATCCACATTGTTTGAAGCCACTAAGTTTGTGGTGATTTCTCACAGCAGAACAGGAAATTAATGCAGGGAGTCACTACGAGAGAAAGAGTGGCCAGGGAACCCGGGGAGAACAGCAGCCATGAGATTGTTTGTGTCCCACAAATCCGTCGGGGAAACTATTTCTAAAAGAAAGGAGCAGAGCTCTGTGCCAGACTTTGCTGAAAGATTCCATTGATGTAGAGAAAGAACTTTGCACAGGATTTGTTAAGGTAGAGGGAACCTTGGTGGAGCAGCTTCATCAAGTATAGGCTCCCAACCTGCGTTGACTGGAGAGGAGTAGAGAGAGAGGTGTCTCAGCAGAGGTCTCCTGTAAGGAACTTGAGAGGCACGGGAGGTCAAACAAGGGTCCTGGGTTTATTTTAGAGGAGTCTGAATGCTGATGGGAAAGTGCAGCAGAAACTGAAGAACAGATCTTCACACAGAGGCAAGGCCAAGGAGTGCTGGGAGGATGGAGTGCAGGGCACACTCCAAGACAATGGCCATGAAAAGAAGCTACAGGAGGAAACGCGGCAGTGGAGGCAGCTCCCACCCTTCATCTCTGAAGTTGTGATGGGCCTTCAGATTTGTCCCAAGCTGAGACAAGCACTGGTCTGTATTCCTGTATCAGCCAGGAATTGAACATGAGCCAACCTCCGGAAGGTGACTGACCCTTGAGTAAGGCAGCTCCCTATGACTGAGGGCAATTCCCAGAGCGAGAGGCAAGCCACCTGCAGCTCCTGTCTGTCACAACTCAACAATGGATGTGTTGGCCCTGAAGAAAGATCTGGGTAGAGCACCACAGTCTCCTCTAAGTCCACCCTCCTTTACATTCACTTGCTTCTTCTAATAAGTGTGCCCCATCAGGGAACAGCTCTGCCAGGATCTTGGTTGGACTGGTTACCTGGGAAATTTACAAGAGAAGATTAGAGGAATAAATTTCAACCACCACTGCTGCAATTGATCTCAAGTATGGAATGTGTGTAGGAAGACATGGGTGAAAAGATGAAGTCGTTACCTGGTTGCCTCTGTCCGCTTAAGGACGTGAGATGGAGGAGAAAGGAAGGGAAGGGGTCTAGGAGGTTGGAGGGGATCCAAGAAGTGAAGGTGTCATTTGGCAGAGCAGAAAAGTGTCCCACCATTTATCAGGTAAAAGACCAAGGACAAGTTACTTAACGGCAGAGTTTCCATTTCCTCACCTTCCCACCAGTCCCATTCTTCAATGGTATGTTTCTTGAGTGCAGAATCCACTTCAAAACTGAAGAATCAATAGTCCAAGGTGAAAGGACACAAAAATAAATCATGAGTTTTCTCTTATATTCCTTAGTAAAAAACTTACAAATTCTCCCAAATGTCATACCTTGTATTTTGAGGAAAACAAATCTTAAAGGCAAAGCCTGTTTCATGAACTTGAACATCAGTAAGTTGGTCCCAAAGAATTAATGAGTACAACAACTCGAGGTTCTCTGGAACAAGTTCAAAATATTAAAACTTAGTGTTCAGTGTAATGGTTATTAAAAGTCAACATGAAGCTTTCTCATCAGCTATATAAAACCTGTTATTTCTTAGCCTTTGTGGAATGCAAATCTACATTGCTAACCGTGTGTTTCCAGAGGAAAAGTCTGCTATCACTGCGTCCCCATTTAATGAACTATTTTGTAACCATAAAAATGTGATTAGTTTATTTATATTTAATCAAAACACACTACAAAAACTTGATAAACTTACTGCTGAGAGCTTTGCATCATTGATGAAAGATTAGAAAAAAGTATTCAGCAACTTAATCTGATTTACCATCATAAATATTCAAATTTTACATATTTATTCCACAAAACAGTTGTTTAAGTGGCTTTAATTTATTTTCAATTTTATTGTCTCGACTGTATAATGCAAATCAATTGTTGAAACTGTTCGGAAACACCATCCAATAAATGTGAAAGTCTCTCTGTCTCTCATAAAGTGAACTAAAATGAACACGATGCAGCCTCAGGATCCTATAGCACATCACGCCAATTTCAAAGTGTGTATTTGCATCATACCAGTTAAACCAGTTCCCTGCATGTGCAGCGTGAGTAGATGATAACATTTCACCATTATCGAAATTTTCTTTGTTTAAAAAATTGCCTCTAGGACTTCTGTTTCCAGTAACATGCAAGGCTGAGTATTTTGATCAAACACTAAAAATTCTGGATTAAAATGTTCTAAAATTCTTAAAAACATTTTTGTTACACAATAAGGAGTTATCAGGTCAAAATCTAAAGGAAAGTTGGTAACGAGAAATAAGAGCAATGAAATAATTTTTGCCTTGAAAGCAAATCTGGTGAACTTTCATTTTCACAGCCTTTATGAGAAAGCCCAGGTCCCATGAAAAAGTGGACAGTCCAATAGGAGAGGCTTCTTCCATAAATCTGGGATCCCAAAATATTATATCCTCATTGTGAGGGTATAGGGGCAGTAAACCCCACACCCACAGACATAGGGACCACCTTGGTGCCGAGAGACTGGACTGAGAACAGGAGAAGGCTTTGAGAATTTACAATGAAAGACAGGCTTTCTACTCAAATTAATGCAAATTTGCATTAACTAAAACAAAACTCATAGCTCGAAGATTTTTGGACTTTCCAGCAAATATTACTACCAATAAAATCAAATTAGCCCTATGAACATCAGACAAAAATAAATTTCAAAGCAAAACATCCATAGGGATAAAGAGAGTCACAGTCACAGCATCATAATAAAAGAAAATTCACTGAGAAACTTTTGTCCTAAGTCTCATTTTTTTGTTTTGTTATATTTTGTTTTTGTTTAGTGAGGTGTCGTTATTACTCTTGCTCATGATCGTTTTTTCTAGAACCTGACATATTCCATAAAGCCTAATATCCAAAAGGCCTAGGATGTTCTAAAATCCAGCTTACAGGAAACAGCCTGAAATTGCATGAAAAAGGTTATTGAGAAGTGATATGGTTTAGCTGTGTCCCCACCCAAATCTTATCTTGAATTGTAGCTGGCATAATCCCCACGTGTCTTAGGAGGAATTTAGTGGGAGGTAACTGAAACGTGGGAGCGGCTCTTTTTCACGCTGTTCTCGTGATAGTGAATACATCTCAAGAGATCTGATGACTGTATGAAGGGCAGTTCCCTGCACACCCCCTCTCTTCCCTGCCACAATGTAAGTAAGACGTGACTTTGCTCCTCATTCACCTTCTGCTATGGTGGTGAGGCCTCCCCAGCCATGTGGAACTGTGAGACCATTAAACCTCTTTGCTTTATAAATTACCCAGTCTAGGGTATGTCTTTATTAGCAGCATGAGAATGGACTAATACAAGAAGTGCTCTCAAAGAAACCTTAAGGAAGGAAAGGGGAGTTGGGCAGAGAGAAGACAACTCTCCAGTAAGGTTGTAGTAGAGACCTCAGCCTTCTCCAAGGATCTCTGAAGCTGTGATGGGCCTTCAGATTTGTTCCAAGCTGAGACAAGGGCCAGGCCTTCATATTCCTGTGTCAGCCAGTAATTGAACAGGGGCTATCCTCAAGGAGATGCCTTAACCCTGAATGAGTTCCCTACTGCTGAGGGCAATTCCCAGTGAGAGAGGTGAGCCACCCACAACTCCTGTCTATCACAGCTGAGCGATGGATGTGTTGGCCCTGAAGAAAGATCTGGGGAAAGAACCACAGATTTGGTGATGAACTTCCCTACAGTTCTCCCCCCTTTAAATTCACTTGCTTCTTCTAGGAAGTGTGCCGCATTGGGGAACAGCTCTCCCAGGATTTTGGTTAGATTGGTTACCTGGGAAATTTACAAGGGAAGATTAGTAGAATACATTTCAACCCCCATCGCTGCAGTTGATCTCAAGGCTATAACCAATATTCATCATTCTCCTCCTCCACCCCTGGTTGGAGATTCCCCCCATCCTCAATTTGCACCTCTGCTGGTCTACGTAGCTTGCCTGGTGGGGCAGTTCAGACCATCATCTCTCACGGGTCTGCACCTCTAGTTATCATCCCCTTTGCGAGCTATGACATCTGTACCTGGACACTTGCAGTTAAAACTGAGCCTGGGAGCACCAAGAGACACCCCAGTGCATCTTCCGAGCAATAATCACATTCTTCCCTGGCCCCTGTGCATCTTCAGCCCCACTTCCCCTGGTCAACTGTGCCTACCAGGATGATATCTCCCTTCCTTTATGGCTGATCCTCGTCATGAGAGACTCTAAGTGACCGAGTGACTGGTGTAAGTTCTTTTGCTGTGTCCTCCTACAGAGGCATTCTTGCTCTGCAAGCCGGGATCTCTACACCCACAGAACCTCATATGTTAGAGAAAGAAAGCACACATTCCCTAAGTAGGTCACTGGGGGTGATGGTAAGTTAGGCGGCTCCTACTACTATTCTTTTCTTTGGTTCCAACCTATTTGGGATACAGCAGCACTGATGTAGTATGTGCACTGCCCTGGAGGACAGTGGCCCATCCTCATAGGGTATCATCTCTAATTTGGGCCCTTAACTATTTATAGAAGGCTCGTCCACCTCTCTGTCAAGCAGGGAGCTTCTGGGTGACGTCATATGTGATGGGGAGAGTGGAACCCATGGTCATGTGCCTACTGCTGAATTTCCATTGTGATAAAATGGGTTTCTTGACCTAAAGCGCTGTTAGGTGGAATCCCGTGTTGGTGGATAGTGATGCTGGCGTAGGCACTGCAGGCAGGAAAGGTAAACTTATGCCAAGACTATCTGAAGACCCAAGTCTAGAGGAGTCTGTATCCCCTGCATGGCAGAAAAGGTCCACAGAACCAACTTACTACCAAATAGTTGATAAGTCTGTTTAAAAGACTAACATGGGGGCTTGGTGTTTCTAGTCTCTGCTGCTAACAGATTAGACATTCAGCAGCAGCAGCATGTAGAAGAGCCACAGAGAGTGGGAGCCTGTGCTGATGGGTTCTTGCATGGCCTCATTTCTGCAACGAGGGCATCCGTTGTTCCTGCACTGGGTGAGGCAATGACAGGCTTACTAATGTCCACCGGCCAAGTCGCCCTGCCGATTTGGTTGTTTCTGCCCCTTCCACAGGAGTGATCTTTGCTGGTGATCACCATGTGACACCCAGATCTTCACACTCTGCACTCACCCCGATAGATCCATCCACAGGCCCCTTCCCCAGACTTTCCTGTCTCTCGTGTTCCAATCTTTCTCTTTTTCTAACATCCTATGGCCTGTGAGCTTTGCCATAAATGTCACAGGGCACATATGCTTACCTCAGGCCACCTCACTTTCCCTACAAAGTGGATGACCAGAGGACCTCCCCAGATAGAAATGCATCAGAAGATTTCCCCTCACTGCTGTCTCCCAAGGCCATCCCTGAGTGGTGTTGCCTGAAATCCATGTTAAATGCACACGCACCAGTGAAACAAGTCATCCTGGCCTGAGAGAAGGCAGTCAGTGTAAGCAGATAGAGAAAAACCAGAACAAGAGTAGGGGATGACCTGAGGGCCAAGCAAACCATTTGTGCAACTTCCTTGTTCTCTCTGACCCTGCTCATGTGCAGTCCTAGATATCCTACTTCCCCTTCTGTTGGGCCCACTCAAGTGTAGAAGCAATTGAGTCTGACAGAAACCAGCCCAGCCATGTGGTTACTCAACCTCCCATGATGACATGCTTCATCTCTATCAAGGCTCAGAAGCACACCAGGAGCCACTTCTCAAATTATGTATTCTCTGGTGCTGATGGTATGGCCTTTCTCCAGAATGCCAGGAGTGCAGTAATTCTCCCAGGACTTGCCATGAGCTCCACACGATGTCCTTTCCATACCTCTGTGATGTATCATACGTGCACGTAGTGCCGTCAAGTTCTGCCACACCACACCATAAATGCCACAGAGTACCAAACAGTTGTCCAGGCCATATGGCACAAATGACAAGGTTACTTGCACCATCATCACCTGGACCTACTAAGAATGCTTTCCTTTCTGGGTCCCAATCAAAGATGATAGCCTTCCACATCACCCAGAAAATGGGTTCAAGCTGCGTTCACAAGGGCCAACTATGCTTCCTCCAAAAGCTAAAGAGGCCCCTCAGCACTGCGCTGCTTCTTTAATGGGAGGAGGTATGAAATGCAATCTCTCTTTACTTTGGAGGTACTCCCCTGTTAAGTCCCTAAAAACTCCACCAATGTGGAAGCCCTCTAAGTCTTCACAGTGCTGACCTCCCAGCCTCACTGTGCATGTGGCTTACCAAGACCTCCAATCCACTCGCCACTGCTTGCTCATCTGGTCCAATGGGCGTACCACATCGAAGTCGTGGGTAAAAATGGTAGTCTATGGAATGTCCAGACAGGGCAGGTGACTTCAGACTAAAAAACAACAAAAGTTAGCATGCTTAAAAAATAACTGGGTAATTCTAAGCTCCTCAGAGACAACTGAAATTTTTAAATTTTAAATTTTAAATTTCATTTAAAAACTAGAAATGCATTTAAAAATATAAAACCAACAAGTACAATACTTGATTTAATCTCTACCATTATCAAAATATTATGATTTCATTTATTATATGAGTCTGTTTTAGAAACAAAAAATAAACCATAAATAAGAACTTTTTTAAGCAACAAAAGTGACAGAGTTCACGTGGATCTGGAGTAGGACCATAAAGGTATTCTTTGTCTGTTCCTGTTCCAGGTTGATGCAAACTGCCTCCGATCCTCCTTTGTTCAAGGATGAAAAATAACAGTTCACCAAGTCAATAGCTTCCTTAGAGAGGCCAAAGACTCCGCTTAATCTTCTCTAGCAAAAGTGCCACGCTTGGCACAGCCACTGCAGGTGGAGATATGACTTGACTCACTGTATGGATATTTAGTGTCCCCCATCATGGCCCACCAGGTCTGTGTGTGGGGCAGCCTGGTGAATTAAATGAGGCTATGGCAAGGACCACAGCCCCTGAATCCTTTAAGTCTTTGAGGGTAACACTCATCTCTGACATTCCTGCCATCAACACAAGATGTGGTCGTGTCTGTGGTTTACAATCTCATAGGGGAAGAGGCCTACCTCACTACAACATCTTTTCTTCTAGGCCAAGGAGTCAATGCACAGGTTCTGCCAATGAACCTGCCATTCACTCCTATTATACTAGAGAACCAGGGAAATGAAGAATGTGAGCTAGGCTTGAACCAAGATTCAATTTATTATGTGCCTTCCTGGTCTCCAGTCTAATAGGAGGGTTACGGTAGCATCTTGGGTCTCCAAATATCAATGTTAGTTTAATAGTCCTTGAAAAGCTAAGGCATTCCTCTTTCCCCAGTGTGCATTTGCTTGAATAAATGTCCTAGATACCTTTAGGTGAGAACTGGGGGAATTATTGCTGAATGCACTTGCTGTAATGTGGTACCGCCCTTCCTGGGAGGAGCTCTGCTTCTTCAGTCAACAGATTCTGGGGCTGAGAATTAGCTCCATTCAAGAAACTAGGCAAGAGATCCTGACTATTGTACCTCCTGGTAATCCACACTTGCTTTCTGATAGAAATTAAGCATTGCCCTTGTTGGATGCGCATCTATTTCACTTCTAAAACAATGAGCCTATTGAGAGCTCTCTGCAGGGCAGGAACCCCCTGGGTGCCCCACTGATCTCGCCTCTCATTGTGATCATGACCTCTGCCTTGCATCCAGTGATGAGCACACCACTTGGCCTTTGTAATCCCAGGATCCCATCATCCCTGTTGTTACCAGGAGCCAGTTCTCTGATTTCATCTGTCATCAGCTCTGGCATGTAGAGCACAGCCATTCCTGAGCTGAGTAGCTTTGGGGGCACTCTCACCAGTGCATTCCTTTGTACATGGGAAGTCCTCCAGACCATCTCGGGAAGATAGTCAGCGCCGTGGATACTAGCACATCCACTCCAGCATGCCCACTTCTCTGAGCCATTTGGTCCTTCCCTCCACCATCTGCCTGAGTGTGGGTCACTGCTTTCTCTAGGCTTTTAAGCATCATCTGAATTGAGTCTTAGCATTCTCTCCAGGGATCTTGACCAAGATGTTTAATCCTGTGCCACCTAGAGTGCTCCCTCTCAATAAACTCAACCTTATTTTATTTTATATCTACACTCGGATCCAATCCCATGAATATATTCCCAGGTCCTCTGGGACATACTAGCTTGATCCCACAGCTGCTTCACCGGATATACCCTTTTAGCCAAGCCAGCCCAGCTCATCCCCAGTCGGGCTGTGCTGATATTTGGTTCTTGTTCTTCAGCTGGTTTTGCCAACAGGAAAGACGAGGGTAGATCCTGATGGGTCAAGCAATGTCTTGTATGATACCTACCTCATTTGAGAACTCTGTATGATCTTCAAAAAAGGAGAGTCCCTTTTTTTATTTTTTTTATTTTTTTACTGAGTCTTGTTCTGTTGCCCAGGCTGGAGTGCAGTGGCGCAATCTCAGCTCACTGCAAGCTCCACCTCCCGGGTTCAAGCAGTCTATAGTCTTCTACATGACATGAGAAGTAGGCTGTTTCTGCAGGCCCAGGGAACTCAGGGACATGTAAGTGTTCAAAGTTCCCAACTGTCTAGGGCTCCTGCCCTAAGTGTCAGGGTCTCACCTCTTTCCCATTAGAGCCCTGTGCCTGAAGGACTGAGAACTTAACCTACTGAGGGTTCAGACTGGTCCTCCAGCCAACCTGCCTTCCAGCTGCAGATCATCGGGGTTTTCTTAAATGCTGCCAAGGAAGTGCTCTGGTTTCACAGTTTGCCTGAAATCCGTGATGAGTCATCTGTGCCTCTGCCTCTCTCTCTTCAACACTCAGTAGCCTCAGCCACCCAAGCCCACAGGCCTTCTGGTTATCATTTCATCAGCCAGCCACCTGCTTCCTCTCCAATTTTTCATTAGGGTCTGCGACTCACAACCACGTCCAGTGTCAGCTGCCTGAAAGGCTTCCTAGAAACAGAGTCTGAGATGGAAATTGCATGCAGGGCACTGATCAGGGGATGTTCTTGGGAGATTCTCCTGTAAGGAAGTGAGAAAGGTAGGATGCTGCAGAAGCTGAAGCTGGCAGCAATGAGGTTGCACTTGGAACCACCCCCAACCAATCCTAAGTGGAGCTCTCGAGCTGGGACGGCCCATCAGAGTTGTTCCAAGTTGAGGCAAGACGGCTGAGCCTTTGTATTCCTTCCTCAGTCAGTTTCAGAACCTGGGGGACATGACCTGAAATGAGACCATTCCCTGCAGCAGGAGGGGGCATCCAGTTCACACTCTGCCATGGCCATCATCAACTGTCACCGCAGCAAGCAGGGAGGCCTGGGCAGAGCACCCCAGTGGTCACTGCAGCCGAAACAGAACTGCTTGTCTTTCTGCTCTCACACCCCTTACCTAGGAAGAGCAGAGAAAGGGTTGCTTGAATGGGAGAAATACAAAGGGAACAAAGAAATCCCAATGAGGAGAACCTCTCAGTGCACCAGCATCAAAGTGTGCTGAGAGGCACCCACTCCCTTCCCTGCACTCCTTGGATCTTGTTCACGGGTTGTTGTTGTTGATGTTGTTGTTGTTTTTAATGTAAGAAACGGAATCTTGCTATGTTGACCAGACTGGTCTCAAATTCCTGATCTCAAGCGATTCTCCCCCCTCAGCCTCCCAAAGCACTGTGATAACAGGCGTGAGCCACTGCATCCAACCTCATTCATCTTTTTGTACCACAGTCTCTGCCCCACCACTCAAAAATATCTCAGGTGCTGTACTAGTGCCTTCCACATCCTGGACCCTCAAGGCATAGCATGGTAGCACCAAAAGGTGTGAAATTAAGAAACGAAATTATGAAGTGAGTCATTCACACCCATCACGGTTATTTATATGGTAATTTATATGGTCAGGCTTGACCGTCTCGGAGGGCCACTGTCATCACAAAGCAGAACAAGGCCCACCAGGACACCCTGACCTTGTGCAGTGAGCAGGCCCTCAGGCTTAGCACAACAACAACCCCCAAACACTGGCATGTTCCCAGCTGAGCCAACATGGACCAGACCCACCCAAACGTGGCTACATCGGAGCCATCTAGAAACCGATTTGAACACTGCTTCTTGTGGTGAGGGACAGGAAACCAAGAGGACACGGGGGGCCGTGTCGAGGTTAACAGGGAGGGCTGCAAGCCCAGATCTCTGGTTTCTGTTCCTCTCCAGCGTTCGTCCCCTCCTACTGTTGTTAAAAATCAATTGTAAGATGCAGACAGCCAGTTCAGGCTGTCTAGAGGACAGGGCTGAGCCTCACTCCCCACTCCATCCCCAGGGCCTAGAACAGAGCCTGGCACAGAGGCCATATCACAAGGCAGAAGGAAATCTTTCCTTTCTGCCAACCCTCGATCTTCCCAGAGAGGAGCCCTGTGTCCCCTTGAGGGCAGGATGGGCGGGCGAGGCAGGGACGCAGTAGAGACTAAGGTCATACACCAGAGAGCTATCGACAAGCATTTGGAAAGTTGTGTGTCAACCAAGAAAGTTATTGCAGATTTATTTGTGTTATTAACAGTAAAAAAAAAAAAAAAAAAAAGGAAGGACAACTTACTCTGAGCCCCAGGGTGCCTTGTCATAGGAGGTTCTCGGGGGTAGGTACACAGTTACTGTTTGTCCCATGAATAAAAGGGTGGATGGAAATAGGCCAGGAGTTGGGAAACTTCACACAACAAATCCAAACTAATGATGGTGAGCCAAAACACAAAACTAACACAAAAGACCCCAAATTGTTACTGTATTTAGAAATAATACGCAAATTATTGTAAAACATTATTGTCAGATTGCTACAAGGCAATTTTCGGGTTGCTGTAAAAGGCCTCTGGCCCAGGGGCCTAACAACCTCCTAAAAGAGGATATCAGAAAAAGCAGGTGGCTAAATAGGAGAAAATAAAGGAAAAGGAACTTGTCAGTCAAACTGCATCCTGCCTAGCAGGGACTCCACACACTCAGGGAACTTCGGACTGAGATGGACTCGGCGTCTCTGGCCAATGAGAACCAAAGTCCTTCACACATCCTATTCTCTGAGACAAGAAAACGTAGGTATGCTTTAGGGGAAAAACAAAAACAAACAAGGGCAGTGGGAGTTTTGATGAGCATAATCTTTACAAATCCTCGCTTTGGAATTCCAGCTTGGCCACCTACTAATTACATCATTTGGGCAAGTTTCTTAACCCCCCAGAACCTCAGTGTCCGCGTCTGTAAAATGACAGTTATAAGAATGCTACCTACTTCATCACAGTGTCGTAAAGACTTACTAAGATAATTCCTATTAAGTGCTGAGCACACTGCCCTCCATGCAGTCTGTTGTTTTTGTGAGAGCGTCAATGTCGCCATTCACCTGCTGTGCAGTTTTGAGCAGATGATGAACGTGTG